CGCCCCTGCCGTCCCTCCCGGCAGCCCCCCCAGGGATCGCCGGCCGCTGGCGGGGACTTCCCCGGGTGGGTTTGGGGTGAGATGGGGTCTCTCAGGTTGTAATTTCTCGTGCTTCACCTCTGCTGCTGCTTCGACGGGTGCTTTGGGAAAGGGGAGATGGGGCAGGCCCTGCCCAAGCGGTGGTGATTCAGCAGGCAAGGGTTTTTTCTCTCTCCCGATGATATTTATTTCCGAGGAGAAGCGATGTCAGGAGGAACCTGACGCTGGAGTCAGGGTCGCAGCGCGGAGCGCTCCGACTTCCGAAGAGAGATAAATGATTCGCTGTTGTCTGCAGCGGTGATAAATGGCCTGATCCAGTTTCTAGGGGGTAATTTTAAGAGTGCAAAGCTCTCTTCGCATGGGTTGCCTTTGATGCTGCGCTCCGGTGCCCAGCTTTTGCCGGCATGGCAGTGGCAAGCCAGCAGCTGAAGTTTGCAGAGATGAGTAATGGGTTTAGGTGCCCTAATCCCACTCATTTGGATGGGATGGGAAACGCAGGAGATTAGCGGGGAGCTGAGCATGGTGTTTGCTGAGCCTGTGGGCAGACCCAGGTGCACATCAGAGGGCGTTTGAAAATCAGCCTGTGTTGACAGCGGGCAGGAAACTTCGGCATTATTGTCTCCTTTATTTCTTCAATATTTTGATCGGTGAGTCAGTCTCGGTTACGATCCTGTAAATCCCTTTGTGATCCTGGCTGGAGCATCAGCTGCTCTTGTAAAAAAATTTATGGGGCAGTTAAAGTGTATGAGACAGAGCCGTAAAGGGATTTATGAACTGGGAGATGCACAGATGGCTTCATTGCAGCCTTCCCCCCGCCTCCGAGGCGCAGAGCTTTTGCCCCAAACGCCCCTTTTGGGGATGAGGATGCTCCTGCCCGGTCCCTCCACAGCCCTGGGGCCCCTGCAAGCGGTTCTCCCTCGGCAGCTGTTCGGCACCAGCAGTGCCCTGCTGCGAGGCTTTCGTGCCTCGTCCCGAATTACTTGCCGGCAAACTTGCGAAGCAGCCGGAAGCCGCTCCGGATTCCCGGCGTGGAGCCGCGCAGAGGCGATGCCGCGGTCCCCGCGTCCGTCTGCCCGTCAGCTGTACAATGGCTTCAGGAAGCGCCGGCGCAACGGGACCGTGGCCCTTGGCAAGGGCCTTAATAGCTTAATCAGACGCCGTTAATGACCGTAACGCCGAGGTACCTCGGGGAGGAGGAGCAGGCAGCCATGTCCCTCCTGGTCTCCTCCAGAGATGAACTCAAGGGGCTGCTTGCACCACCTCTGGGCCCCTTTTTGGG